GTTTGACCCGTTTCTAGTTTACGACAGAAAAGCCAATTCATCCTCATTTTATTCGAAAAGAAGAAATTTGCCATGTAGACTTACGGACTGAGAATGGAAGAGCAGTCTTCCTCATTGATCTCGTTGAACCTCTCGCAGAAGAATTATCAGAATCTATCATAATTTTTCCCCGGTTGGAGCTTGATAAAATTCGTCGCTCATCTGGAATCGAATCCGTGACCGAATGCCACATATCTGTTTTCAGCAGCTGCTTATAAAACGACTATGTTTGCCGCTTCGCACATCATTTTTGGCAATTTCAACGTTATTTCAGTTAATCAATATAAGCTCCAATAAGGAACATACTATACATATGATATAACGTTTTAAAAAATTTGCTCTCTGGCACTTTCAGTGGGTGGCACAAGGGACACACGGTTTTTCTGAACAAAGGCATTTTGTGAAACGATCTCACTATGACCGTCCGTTGGTGCATCAAAGTAAAATGCCACACTCATGACAACCTATAACGCCGACGATGATGATGACGACGACGATGATGATGATGATGATGATGATGGTGATGATGATGATGATGATGATAATGATGATGATAACGACCTCGATGATCGCGGTGGTTATTGATGCAGTCATCCATCGTGTCTTCTAGTCTTCGTTGCCATTCACAGCAAATCATGTCGTTTTTAATGGTCGACACATGCCCGGCACGGTCTGTGGTTGTAGCTGGCCTTTAGCTCGCCTTGTGCAGCAGTGGAATGTGTCCTAACCGTTGAAGTGACACCCTGTGTGCCATTCGCATATTTATGGTTCAGCACCAATCAGGGAGTATTTCGAGTGTGCCTCTGTTTTGATAATATCTCTGTTGGTAATTGGTTCATTCATTCGGCTACTTCACTACGAGTTTGAACCTTTTAGTGTGTTTAACATCTAACCTTTAGACACAACGGCTGTGAGTCACAAAGGACCTACGATGATTGCTAAAAAAAGAATAATGAAAACTTTTCCTCATGTCGTGCCTCCTTAGAATGGAAAACAAAGCTATGCATAAGATCTATCTTTGAAGTTAATTTCTCAAGAGATAAATATTCTTCCTCTATAATTCATTTTAATAGGCTAAACAATCACTTATGTTCAGCGGTGATGATCAACCACCGATGAGTGAAGTATCACGTTCAATACAATAGTCAGTCAGCCAAAGCGTCAGACACCATTGAATCGGATACCTCAAATGACGATGACAATAGCAACAGTAGTCAATATTACTGCTTGCATAGGGAGAGAAGAGGACAGCCTGTACGTTGTCTTTGTGTTACTCAAGAAAACTTACTGCATGTCATCAGAGCGGCGACCGAACGTCCCAAGACCTCTGGTCAGAAGAGCAACGAACCCAACGACCTTCGTCTGCCAAACGAAGAAAAATCGATCACGTCTGAAGTATTGGCTGCGGTTGGCGCAAATGACTATCACTTTATTATCACCTCAATGAAAACGTCAGTGTGTGGCCTCGAAATAAGTCGAGTTTACATCGGCTTTTTAACCACTGTCTGAATAATAGATTGGGAGGCAGATTTAAGGATCATTATTAGACGAACTTCGGCGTATTATCTCTAATCGACTACGGTACGCAGCGGTGCTTGCATCAAGGTCTTCCCACATTTTAAGCTGATTGACAAGCTTCAGACTAATACCGGGAGGCATGAGGTTCTTTCCGAGGCATCGTGACATGTCGTCATGTCAGTATATTTCGCACTCAATTATAATTTACGAAATCCAGACGTGAATTTTTGACTGACGACTAACCTTTAAGGCTCTGCGGCAGTGTCTGAACATCAGGATAAAAGCGACAACTAAGATGAGAAGCTCGACGTATCCAAATACGCATTCGTCCCCCATTAATCCCTACTTCTGGCCGTGAAAAATTTTACAGCTGGTCACTCTGCTTGTTTTCTCCAGCACTTTCCCGAGAACCGACGGGATGAAAGCTACTTACGGAGTGATCCGTTTGGCCCATGATGCTCAAGTCGATGACGCAGAACTAAGCAAGGTGAAAACCGCAACTGTTCTGTGGATCCGGCCTCAGATTCACATTCGAAAGCCGCTGGTTCGAGTTCGAGCTGCTATACGGTCATTCTTCTTTCATCATTTACGGGAAGGAGTCTGGCTGCAGGTATAGCTTTGGAAGGTGAAAGGCAACAAAGCGCCCATGGTTGATTGATGACAGAGCAATAAGATTAGTACCGCACCGTAAGCACTACGAATGAATGATGTCAGAGATGGTAAACAGTCACAAAATGAGGTGGCGTGATCCGTGAAACATTCTAAAGAGGTCGACTTCGAACGCCGACATTACTCTGGCTGTCGTAATTGCTAATTCGTTTGAGAAAGGAATTTACCTAACGTTACCTCAATGGAACCAACCAAAAAACGGGTAGCAAATCGTTGAATTTCGAACAACTGAGGCAACATGTTGATCCGCCGTCATCATATCAGAATCAGCTTAATAATCAGCACAAGACGTAAACTAAAAACAAAAGAAAACAAAATAAAGTGTAAAAGTAACAAACATTCCCAGGTAAGAGATATACGTTCTGTCTTTCCAGAACAGTGAAGATCTATGGATTAAGTTTTGTATCCGTTATAATACTTGTTCGCCCTATGGGTGCGCTACGAACAAATGTCGACGCTTCTCCTGTACTATATGTCTCCCGCCTTTGCTTCCAACGCTGGCAAGCAATTTGACCATCGAATTGTCCCAACGTGTTTTTGGAGGGCTAGCACATGTCTGTAGTCCAGAAAAAACTCAGTTTGCAAGTCTTGACATCCGTTGGTTGACTCACAAGGGAGGCAGCACTGTAAACTGTTAAAAACAAGTCTGCTAATCCAGTCTGTTGTCAAATTCATACGTTTGGAAAGTAATTTGCAAATGCTCAAATAATGTCGAGGAAAAAATCACTTAAAGTCGACAGCAAAGAACCAGCTGTTCTTCCACCTCCTCGTCTACCTCCTCTTATTTTTCCATCTCCAGTTCATGGCTCCAGAGCTCGGTCAAAACTTTAGCATTAAATATGTTAGCAGCTTTATGATTTATTTAACCTTTGTCATTCAACTGGAAAACAGACAGGCTTCTACGGCGTTACTTCTATGCTTCTTCCGATTACCTGCTGGAAGCGGTGCTTTCAAATCGAAGCAATAGCAATCATTTAAGGGGCAAATCAATATGACGCTTAGGCAGATATGCGACGGTCCCATTTTTATGACAAAAGCTTTATAGCTTATGCTGGATAAGCGAAGAAGCTGAAAAACACTGTTCCTGTTCTCAGAGATTGCTTCAAAAATCGTATATGCAATTGCAGGTGCTTTACAAACTTATAACAAAATTTTTCACGTTTTCATCATAAGAATCGATCATAAG